CATGGGGTCGCAAAGAGTCGGACATGACTAAGCAACTGAACAACAAATACCATATATCAAATTAAATCCCAAATGGACTACACATGTCAAAGCAAAAAGTAAAAGCAGAAAGGAAAACACAAGTGACTACCCACATTTCAGACTGGGAAAGGATATTCCTAATGGAAACACCATAGAAGATGACGTCACAGAGCAGCATATTGATAGACAGCACCAAAGAGCCAACATCAGAGTAAAAGGTGAATGGCTCCAGGGAAAGCAAAAGCTTGGAACATGAAAGCTGAATGTCCTCAGTGCACAAGGATGCTCACACTTGAGGAGGGGCACGTGCTCTAGAGGAGAGGCTTAGCTGCTTGTACTGGGTGTGTTTCTGCTTTGGGAGATGCATAAAGCCCATGGTTTTCAGGGGCTGGGAGCCCAGGCACTCAGGCTGCTGTAATTCATCAACTGAGAGCAACTGGGCAGTCGCCCATCACACCCCTTCTAAAATGTCTGTCTCCTCTGACCCGGGTTGCAGAGGGACGAACACCGCCATACTGCCTTGGAAAGGGGGGTGACTGACGCACAAGGATGTCCGCCTCATGACTACTGGCTCCAGTGACGGATCTGCAAACAGTCCAAACACACTGAACAGAAAGGGAGTGATTTAACAAAATAATACCTATATCCCTATAGTTGAAACTGTGCAACTTTTGAAAAATAATGTTTGCAAATGGTAACTTGGAACATTTTGTGGTGCACCACTGCATTTAAAGCAGGGCACAGAAATGTGCGTGCCGCTTAATCCCAGAGGCGAAGCCTGGAGTGAAATAGAGCAATCTGTCTCAGTAGAGGCTCAGCCCCCGCAGCCCTGAGCACCACCATCAGCAGGGTCCCCTCTGAGCACCAAGATGCTGTGACAGTCATGTGGAGGGGCAAGAGGGGAGGAGACGGTAACACACAACAAACATGCAAAACTGAGAGGACACAGGATCCTGGAGCCTTTGAAAGAACACAACATAAGAAGCTGCAGTGCTCAGCTCCCCAAGGAGAAAGATTTTCCGCAGGATTCGGCAAGGCAGAGGCCACATGATGGAGCAGAGACGCAGCCCCGCTGGGAGGGCCAGATGGCCGTGGCGCTTGGCCCCAGCAGAAGCAGAGGCTGAATCGGGTAGAAGGCTGCTTTCATTGTGTGTGTGTGTGTGTGTGTGTGTGTGTGTGTGTGTGTGTAATAGTATTTGCTGTACAACCCTTTACGTTTTATTGTTAACAAAATTACAAAATGTACCTAGTTTCAAAAGTCAGAGTTCCACAGAGCTGAAGATGACAGTGTCGCCTGCCGCCTCCCCGTGTCGGCCCCATAGGCTCGTGCTCTTTTATCTTTTACCCTCTTGCTATTTCTATCCCCAGTTCTAACGATCAGTTTGTATGGCTCTTCCTGACTCCAGGATTTTGTGTGTCATCCACTAGCTGCCTCCACCCCTCCCTCTCACCTATCCCTCTGTTACACCTCCGTCCACCATCCAGCAGGGACCACAGGCGGTTCACTCCTCACACTGCACCTCCCTCCTGTACATGCGAGTCTTGGAGTGAAGGACGGCCTCCCATAATTTTCTGTGTACTTATTGTTGATTCACCTCCAGACTCTTGCCAGGGATCCATGGCCATGGGAACCCTCAAACACAGCAGGGAACAGCCCACCAGCTCCTCTGGGAGCCCCATCTTCCTGCTCCTCCGTCCAAATGGCAGAGCTCCAAGGTGTCCCCTTACATACATACATACATATAGTAGCTAAGTCATGTCCAATTCTAGCTACCCCATGGACTGTATCCTGCCAGGCTCCTCCGTCCATCGCATTCTCCAGGCAAGAATACTGGAGTGGGTTGCCATTTCCTTCTCCAGGGGATCTTCCCCACCCAGTGATCAAACCTGAGTCTCCTGCATTGCAGGCAGGTTCTTTACCTCTTAACTGACTGACCTACAAGTGAAGCCCTGCCTGCTCCCAAAAGCCCACCCCAAGTTCCTGCTGTTCCGAGGGCCAACAGGGCAGGGACTGGGGTCACTGGCTCCATAACTCACTTGAGTGTGGCCATGCTTCCCGTTTGGGACCGTCTGTCGTGCGAGCCCCCGGCCACTGCTCCACCCTCCAGTCTTCAGCAGGGTGGGGAAAGGGTGTGTCCCATTGTGGGAGGGGCCAAGTCTGACAGCTTCTTAAACAGGCTTTCCACCGTCTTCCTATTTCCGCGTTTCTCCCTGGATTACCAGGCACGGTCATCAGCTGAGGCTGAAAGCTGATGACAGAAGAAAGCAGCAGAAGAAAGGCTGGAGGCACAATAAGGGCCTCAGATAAAATCAAACCTCCTAGGGGTCGGGGGCGGGGTGAGGTCCTTGACCAGTCTTCAGGGACGTGTGGTCTCTGGCAGCAGCACACTGCTGTGGCATCGAGGGGACAGAGGCAGGACAGGAAGGACCGGGTGTCTGTGAGAAGGTGATAGTACAGGGCTGCCCCGTGAACCATAGGCTGAAGGCGGAGGGGTCACCAAGAAGGACATGGAGTGGGGGGAGGCCCTGATGGAGGAATCCCGTGGTAGGACTCTGTCTGCACTCACTGTTGGTGGGTTTTAAAGTTCTTTTTCATATTTTCCAATTGTGTAGTGAAGGTAGTCATGTTAATGCGGGGAGGGGGGCGGGGGTGAGTTTGAAAGCAAATAATCATTCTCAGTATCATGAAGAATAAAAGACTAGAGTGAATAAAACGTCACCAAACGTTCGTGATCATGATTTCGTAATTCCCTGATCCTAGTGCGGTCAAACGCCCAGTCTCCAGCTCGGCGGGGAGCCAAGTGCCTGTGGAACAAAGCGGGTCAGGGGCCCAGCGGGGTCTGAGCGCAGGCACAGGGAGACGGAGAAAGGCCCATCTGCAGCTGCTCCACGGCACTAAGTTCTCGGAAGACGAGCAAATGGAAAACCGCGTTCTTCCTGGGCTACCGTCCCCTGGGAAACATCCGGGGCAGATGAGCTCCGTTCTGGCTCGTCAGCCCCCTGGATCCCACAGGAAGACGCAGACGGCTTCACCAGAGACAGACATATCTGTTCTAACCAGCTCAGAGCTCTTAACGGCTCCCTCCCCACCCGCAGAGGAAGGCAGGTGCCCTATAAAAAGCCTGCGCCTTGCCTTAGCCAAGCCTCAGGGGAGCCCCAGAATAAGCCGCAGTCCCTGGAGCCACTGTCCTGCCGGGGTGCTGGCATCCTCAGCGCCCACACTTGGCTCACGGGCTGTGCACACGCGGACGGGGAGGTGCCTGGCCAGCTCGCCCCACCCAAGCATGCTGATGGGTCCAGAACTGGCGGCCGGGTCTGAACCCATGTTTCCTGCCTGCCGGGGGAGATATGTGGGCAACAGCAAAGTCCAGAGGAGAGAGGCCCGGCACACACAGGGTGCTGTTTATATGCCTGAGTTCCAGAAGCCTTTCCTTGGAGATTTCTGTGAAAATTAGATCCAGATTTGCGCAATTACAAAGTTGGTCCCGCGCCAGCGAGGATCTGGATGTCCTCTAAGAACCAGGTATTATAACAGCTTTAGTCTGAAACAATTCAACACACAGAGGAAAAAAGACCACCCAGCTCCCTGCTCCCTTGCTCAGCAGCACGGCAGTGAGAAAGGACAGAGATGTGTCTGCCCCGCCTTCCTCCCGGCCCCGCCCTCCTCCCGGCCCCGCCCCTTCGCGCTCCCGGCTTAGGCCTGGAGCCCTTTCCCCTCCACCACCCACAGGGCCGGCTCTGATGCCTCCTCCAAGGCTCTGCTCAGATGCCCCTTCCCAGGGCTATTCTGACCACCCATCAGTGCCTCCAGGCCCCAATTCTTCTCTGTTCGTCCCCAGCAAGCGTCACCACCCGGCACACGTATTACTCGTATGTTTTATATGCCCCAGGAAGATGTAATAAAGAAGGCTGTGATTCCAGAAGCATGCCCAGCCCATCACAAGCATTCTGTCAATATTTGCTGAACAAATGCATCAAGGTCTTTGCTCAAGCAATCTGTAACCTAAGAACTTTTCTCCTCAAATATTGTTCATCTGGTTACCCACCAGCCCAAAGCCCCCGTGTGCATGTGCTCTCTGACTCCTTGCCCCTGTCTCTCATGTCTCCCGAGGGGGCTGCTGGCAGCAGACCCTGGAAGGTAACAGTGGCACTCTAGCACTCTGATCCGGATCGGGTGAGCTCAGGACCACTTGGGGCTGTGGTGAAGGTCACCTAGAAGGGCAGATACCAAGCCTGGAGCCCACATTCTGTCATCAAGGCAGCTCCCAGTTATCCTGCCACCACTGGATATGAGTGGATGTGAGCTCATGAGGTCAGAGGCCTCGCCTCAGAGCCCCATCTCACCACCGGCAAGCACAGTGACCAGTGATGTTGCCTCCCAAGCCTTGGAAAGTGAACAGAAGGGCAGCACCACCCCACGGAGCAGGGCTCGGGGCTCGGGGCTCGGAGGAGGATGGGCGCAGACCAGCGCCAGCATGACCACAAGCCTTCCCAGCAAGGCCACCGAAAACTTAGAAAAATGAAGGCATCTTAAGGATAAATCTAAAAGGAATCCTTTCAAGGTAGTTTTGCAAAACTGGAGTCACAGCCACAAAGAGATGTCCTTGGGCCTGGACGTGACACCATGACGGCCACAGTGCACACTGGTCACTGCTGGAACCTGGGACGAAGCCGCTGTCTGCTCAGCCCAGGCGAACAATTGGTTCTCAGGCCCCTGCTGGACAGTGCAGTCAGGGTGACTCTGAAGAAGAAGGTTTTTAGGAAAGGAGGAAACTACCTCTTTTTACATACTGGTTCTCCAGAAACCAGAGGGAAATGACACACACCACTGATAGGGCGCTATGCCTGACCTGTGATGGGGCCCTTGTGTGACATGAGGCCAGGCCACAAGGAGAGTCAGCAAGACACGTGGCTTCGTATGCAAGCAAAACTTGGCAACTCAACTGATGTGGAAAGAATCACTCAATTTAAAGACATACCTCTCCAAAGGCATCACAAGAAGCACTACTTACATGGAACCATGTGAAGAGCTTCCCTCTGCAGGCAGCCCTGTAAACAGGTTAAAAAAATTATTATAACTGGAAATCATGGTAGAAAATAACCCAAAGAATGCTCCATCACCTTAGATAACAAATTTTATCAAACTAAATAAATGCTTTTTGTAGCCATGAGTCAGTTATTTAGAAGGCCAAAGATAGTCTCCAGGAAAAAGAATTCCGTGAAAGATGGCTGGATTCTAAACTGAGTCTGGAATTGGAAAGACACCAGTAAGCACTCAGAGCGTGGTCTCCCCTGAACCCTGGCCCACAGTCCTAACCCTGGTGGAAGTCTGGGTGGCACTGACTCCTGCAGCCCTTGAGGTCTGTGGGGAGCAGCAAGGAGAAGAGCACAGTGAGGTGTAGACAGGACTCCCCACCTCAATGCCCACCCACACGGTTTCAGCTCCAAGTTAAAGAACGCTGTGCCTGGACAGTAGGACCTAGGACCCCGGCCTGTGCAGACTCCACAGCAGGTAAACAGATCTGCCCAGGCCTCCTCTGGGAGCCCTGAGGCATCCATCCAGGGAGGACTGAAGGCCAGGGGAACTCAAGAGACATCCACTTCCAGCATGACAGCGAGGAGGAACCAGATGGACTCCCCAGCCTCAAACAGTGAAGAAACAGACAGAAGACATGAGAGAAAGGTGCTCGGTGGTGGGACAACAGGCAGCACAGAACAAAGAGCCTGAGGGGGAAACACATGGGATGCATGCTGGCTGTGCAGATGACAGTTGGGGAGGTTTCGAGGCCACAGCACCAGAAGGGGGACCCAGGCAGAGTCAGGGGAGTCTTGAGGTGAGGAAACAGCTGAGGTTCAAGGAGCCGACAGCAGCGAGAACCAGCAGGGTGGAAGACCAGAAAGGAGAGCACTAAGACGTGCTCTGGAGACCAGTGGGGGTGCACCTGACTCTTCGCCAGGACACTGGTCAACCCGTGGGACTGAGGCCAGGGAATGAGCAACACCAAGAAGCAGGATAAAGTGTCGCCATCACTGGCGCAGCCTCAGGAGTGGACCTCACTGCCACCAACTGGACCAGGGAACTTACGACACGGGGACCACTGGGCCAGGCACTTGGGAGAGCACAGACCACTAGGTGCTGCCTAACAGTGCTCAATAGCAAGCCACCAAAGGGGCTAAACTTTCCAAGCAACAAGTCCATTTCAAGAGGAAAATCTAAAGTAATTAAAGGAATGCATAACCCAACAACATACAATCATGATGTCTTTTGTTCATTTAAAAAATAACAGGGATGCAAAGAAGCATGAGAATATATCTCATATGGAGGATAGTTGATCAATAAGAAAAGGAACCAGAAATTACCCAGGAAGTAATTAGCAAATGCAGTCCCTAAAACAGCTACTATAAACACATTTTACATGTTCAAGAAGATAGAGGAAAGCATAGCTTATAGGAGAGACATGAAAAGCATTTTAAAAAAGACCCAAATTAAACACATAGAGATGAAAAATACATCTGAAATGAAAAATACACTAGATGGCATTAACATCACATTAGACACTAGGAAAGGAAAGATTAGTCAGTGAGCAGACAAAACAATCTGTGAAGACAGAAATGATCTAAAATGAAACACAGGGAAAGATTCCCTCTTCCCTAAAAACACAGAAATATTTTTCTAATTGAACACTCAGGGCAGGGGTGGAGAACAGGATGGGACAAAATGTATTTAAAGATATAATATTTTTTTCAAAAATTGACAAAAATTATGAATCCATAAATTCAAGGTCAACAATCCCCAAGCAGAAGACAACATGAAGGAAATAAAATCAAGGTATATCATAATCGACTTACCCAAAGAGAAAATCTTCAAAGCAACCAGAGGGAAAAAAAACATATGTACAGAAGAACACAGACATGGTGGACAAGGACTTCCCAGAAACAATGCAAGCCAGAAGTCAATGAGATAACATCTCAAAGTAATGAAGGAAAAAGCTATCAACAGGAAAAACTATAAATAGTGAAAATAACTTTCAAATACAAAAGCAAAATGAAGATTTTTTTCCAATAAACAAAAGCTAAAATAATTCATCACCAACACTTCTGAACTACAAGTAATATTAAAGTAAAAGTCCATCATTCAAAAGAAAAATTACATCAGAAGAAAATCTAGATCTACAAAAAGAAATGCAAAGCACTGGGAACAAAATTCATGAATAAATATAAGAGACTTTCTCCTTAATTTATAAGATTGTTTTAAAAGATAATGGACTATATAGAGCAAAAATAATGACAATGTATTGTGTGGTTTAGAGCAGTGTAGAAGTAAAATGTCATGACACAGTAACATAAAGGTCAGGAGAAGTGAGATGGAAGTATATTGCTGTTGGGTTTTATACTGTAAGTGAACTAGTACAATATTTGAAGACAGACAGTGATAAGTTAAGGATATACACAATGAATCCCAAAGAAACTAATAAAAACAAAGTAGTGATATAGCTAATTAGCTGATAAAGGTGATACAATTCATCATAAATAGTACTTGACACAAAATAAGTCAAAAAAAGAGGACAAGAGGACCTACTAGCACATGGGACCAATAGAAAACCAATGGCCAAATTATAAATTTAAGTTCAATCATATCAGTAGTCATATTAAGTATGTGCTAAGTCATTTCAGCCATGTCCAATTCTTTGTGAACCTATGGACTATAGCCCACCAGGCTCTTCTGTCAATGGGATTCTCCAGGCAAGAATACTAGAGTGGGTTGCTGTGACCTCCTCCAGGGGATCTTTCTGATCCAAGGATCGAACCTGCATCTCTTACATCTCCTGCACTGGCAGGCGGGTTCTTTACCACTAGTGCTGCCTGGCAAGTCTCTTATTATGTATAAATGGTCTAAAACAACCTAGTTAGAATACAGACATTTTTAAGATTGGATAAAAAAACAGGACCTCAATACAATATTTATAAGAAACCCACTTTAAAAGTAAATATACAAATAGATTAAAATAAAAGGGATGGAAAAAGATGTATCGCTCTAACCCTAATCAAAAGGAAGTTGGAATGGCTATATTAACATCAGAAAAATGAGGTTTCAGTGCAAAGAATATTATCAGAAGTAAAAAAAAGGCATTATGTAATAATAAAGGGGTCAAAACAACTAGATATAAGATTTGTAAAAGATATAGGAACAACAACACTATCAAACAACACTATTGCTCAACATCACATAACTGGCATTTATAAAGCACTCCATGCAATAACAACCCAATATACAGCCAAGTGTTGGGGAGGACCTAGAGAAACTAGCACCTTCATATATCACTGGTGAGAATGTAAAATTGTGCAGCCTATACAGAAAACAGTTTACCAGTTCCTCAAAAAGTAAAACACAGAATTATCATATGACTTGGCCTTTCTATTCTTAGGTATATATCCAAAAGAACTGAAAGAGAGAATCAAACAGACACTTGTTCAAAGCATCGTTATTCACAATAGCCAAAATGTAGAAACAACCCAAATGTCCGTCAACAAATGAATAAATTAATATTAATATGTCCAAACAATGGAATATTCTGTGGCCATAAAAAGCAGTGAAGTGCTGATACATGCTACAACTCAGATGAACTTTGAAAACATCATGCTCAAAGAGGTCACACACTGTAAATTTCCATTTACATGAAATATACAGAATAGGTAAATCCACAGAGATAGAAAGAGAATTAGTAGTTTCCAGGTTATGGGGAACAAGGAATATGGAGAGTAATTACTTAATGGGGATGTGGTGTTCCTCTGGGGTGATGAAAAAGTCTCAGACTTTGAAAAGTCTAAAACTGGGTGGTGGTTGCTCAACACCGCTGAATTCACTGAACTGTACACTTTCTAATGATTAATTATGCATTACATGAATTTCACTTCAGTAAAAAGAAAATAAATATAAGAAGGGAATGTGAGAAACTATTGCATGTCAATAAATTTAACAGCTTAAATGGAATTCTTAGAAAAATAAAGCTATCAAAACTCACTCAAGAAAAATCAGATAACTCTATAAGTATTCAAGTTAAAAATCTTCCTACCAATAAAAGAGCCAATCCAGATGGCTTCCATGCAAGAAATATTAAAGGAATAAATAATAGCAGTTTCTTACTAACTTGTCCTGAAGATGGAATGTAAGAAACCACTAGACAAATCCTTCTGTTAGACAAGAGTTAACTTGATACCAAAACCAAAAAAAAAGACACTATAAGTGAACCAATATTCCTCACATATAGAGACACAAAACTCTTATATTTAGCATATATAATCATACAATATAAAAAACATATCATAAAAAAGTAGATTTCTATCTAGAAAAGCAACTGATTCTATACCAAAAAAAAAAAAAAAAACCCACAAAATACAAAAAAAACCAATGTAGAGGCAACCTCATTTTACTGTGCTTCATTTTACTGAGCTTGATTTTTTTTTTAAATAAATTGAACGTTTGTGCAACCCTTTGTTAAGTAAGTCTATCAGTGACATTTTTTCCAGTAGTGTTTGCTCACTTCATGTGTCTATGTCACATTTTGGTAATTCATGCAATATTTCAAACCCTCCACCAATACAAAGATTACCACTTGCTGAAGGTTCAGATGATGACTAGCATTTTTGAGCAATAAAATATTTTCAACTTAAGGTATACATTATTTTTTAGACATAATGCTATTGCACATATAATAGACTGGAGCCTAGTGTAAACATTAAGTAAGCTGAAGCTCCAGTATTTTGGTCATCTGATGCAAACAGCCCACTCATTGGAAAAGTCCCTGATGCTGGGAAAGATTGAGGGCAGAAGGAGAAGGGGACATTAGAGGATGAGATGGCTGGATGGTATCACTGATGCAATGGACATGAACTTGGGCAAACTTTGGGAGATGGTGAGGGACAGGGAGGCTTGTCATGCTGCAGTCCACGAGGTCACAGAGAGTCGGACATGACTGGGCAACTGAACAACAA